CGATAAAGTTCTTGCCATTTAGTGCAGTTCTGGGAAACCGCTCAATTCTCACTAAAATCTCTGCTCGACTTTAACGGGTTGCTGCATCCGTCTTGTCTTCAACTACTCCAATTTTTTTATTCTCGAGTTCTTTCTAATTGTGCCGTCTTATCAGAGCATACCTCGGTGGCTGACTTCGCTGGATTACTTTCACTCTTACCACATTAAGAAACTTTTCAACTTCTTCGGCCATAGATTTCATGGTATAGATATCGTCATCGATCGCAAAGATCATGGGATCATCCACAAACAGATAATTCGTTATCTGCATTCCTTGATCAGTTAGAACTGCTATCTTTGGGTACCTTTGGGTGTCTTGGGGTATCTCTTTGGGGTATCTCTTTGGATATCTTTCTTTGGGTTTCTTTGGCTCAATATAATAATATTGAGCCGAGCGCTCAACGTGTCCATGCGCAGCACGAACAGCAAGGAGAAAGGAGAATTCCTCGTTCTATTTTCTTCTCCAATATAGTCTCTCTATTGCTTTTCAGTGAAACAGATCATCTGGAGATGATGCTTCTCAGAAACCTGCTGATCCACAATAGCATGTTAAACCTTTCAATGCACTTAATCAGGTATCCGTGATTAACTGGGTGGAACGCTTTTTTATGTCATACCACGTAGTGTAAAGCTGGTTCCCGTGCTGTTTGCAAACCGCTAGGTTCAACAGTGCTTGTTTCTTCGTACCTTAAACCTAGGTAACAGTTCCTAATTTATTATGAACATCGGATCTCATAACTTTTAATTTTACTTTAGTAAATCCTCACACGGTCTGTCAATATGCTTAACGCTTCATGGCAGTCACGCTTAAGAGCAAGTATGAGATTCATCTGCCTTATTCACTTCTTGACCTCTTTTAAATCTTTACCTCCCAGTTTTTCACCGGCCAAATTCCGTTCTATGAGGGATTTGTTGAAATTCAGCAAGCTTATTGTCTTCTTTTCTATGCTTGCTTTTCACCCCGATGGCTTCTTCTTTCGCCTCATCATATCTTCATAACATTGTTGTGCTGCCTTGCAATATCAGTCATGGACTTGTAGGGATTTTGTATAGCATATTCACTCACCGCTTGGTTTGCTGCTCCAAGTATGAGCTGGTCCACGCTCTCCGATGTTATTTTCCGCGCCCACTGTATCTGGTTTATCTCACATCCTTTGCTGCTTGCATCGGCACTAGATATTTCTCCTTTACATCTAGATAAACGTTAGACTCGTGCAGCGTACTTTCTTCGAAGTGCGTATTTTGTGAATTAACACGTCTCGTTGACTCCTCCAAGAACCGTTTCTAGGAGCACGGACGACCTGCAATACTGGTAATCAGAGAATTCGCTTGCTTCTTCAGTTCTTCGAGGGTAATAACACACGAAAACTTCTCGCTATACAAAGAAGACACAATGGCCAACCTCTCTCGTCATTCTTCCACTTCCTCCTCACACCTGTTTTGCGTAATTTCGATTCCACGGATGTGCTTAAAACGTAATCATTTTGCTGACATCGGATTCCGGTATACTGGCAGAACGTCCCTTCACACCCTCCACATAGCTTTTTCCAACCTCATCTGTTTTTCCTTTGTTTTCATTAATGATTCCGTATCGAATTTTTCCTTTTACCTTTCATTTTATGTTTCTTGAACACAGCCGTCAGGGTCAAACATGAAATCAACCGCTCAGCACCCTGGGAAAGTCAAGATGTATATATATATATACATCTTGACTTATATATATATATATGTAATATCAGTAAATTTATTTATTTCTTGTAATATATATAAATGTATATATTTGTTTAAAAAAATTTTCGAGAGCAGTGTTTTGAATGAAGCTGATTATGTCAGTTTCGAAGAAGAGAGGTGGAGTAATAATTTTTCTTACACGCAAACACACGCCTGCACGTACACACAGACAGACAGATTTGTAAATCGGAAATGCTGGAGAAAAGTCAGAGATAAATTTTTGAGCAGCATCAACAAGTTCGCTTATTTTCCTTGTGCCAAAGTACGAATTATAGCTATTCCCTGCAACATCTCTAAAATTCTGCATCAGAACTGACTACTAACTTTCTTTTAGGTAAACATTTCTTGCCTTTCTTCATTTTAGCCAGATAAAAACGCATAATGAGCTCAGTACACCTTAAAATTAATCTCATAGATGGTTGAAGGAATTAATTTGAACCTACTTTTAATTTTTACTTATTATTTAAAAAGACTTCACAAAAAGAAAAGAAATCGTGAAGAAACAAGTATTAAACAACAAGGTTCTAATAATATCCAATTAGTTCGAGCTTTAAAAATATTCACCATTACTATTTCTTTCATTACTATTATTATTCTTATTAGTATTGCTCGCCATACTATCGTAATTATTTATTATTATTATTATTTATCATTATTTAACATTATCACGATCTTCAGCTCCAGTAACACCTTCCTTCATTGCTGCTAGAATATTCGTTGTCTTCCTTGGCAATTAATATCAAAGGTAATTTGTATAAAACGGGAAAGGCCCTATTATCTTTCATCCTTTACTACGATTAACAGAGTCAATATTGTTATGAATAACTATTCACAGTATTCTAGTCCTTATTGAATTATAACACTGGAAGTGATAAGAATTATTCTATTAATTTTACTATTAATATTGAAGTATTTTATACATTATTATTTTGTAACGGCCATGAATATTCGTGTTCTGCTATTTTTGATTCTAT